CAATTTGTTCCACTGTTGTCATATTTAGACTGGACCGGATGGTTAAACCAATGATCTTTCTTTAAAAATCCCGGTTGAGTGATTTATCACTGCGTGGACGAGTTAATTATAGGGATGGAAATTTCAACAGTCAAAAAGCCACTTATAATGCCCCCAAAACATGATGCCCTTGCATTAAAATTTCCTGTCTTTTTATTTTTCTTTTGAAGTATTGCAATAGGAGGTGCCAATACAAATAGCCTTTGGTTAGTGGGTTGGTAATGGCAGCAGAGAAAGAGAGATGCAGCTATATGCAGGATTGTAGGCCACTACACTACATTAGTAGTGGTTTTATATATTAATAGAGAAAACCCATTCCGAATCTTCTGCCCACAAGAATACTATTCATACTTATCCACAAAACATTATCTTGATCCACTTAGGAACATCTCCCTGCTTATAATAACTTGTAAAAGGATGAGATGTTCTCCGTGTGTAGTTGAGATGTTATGTGGGTATTGGGTTGGTGAGTGAAAAATCTATTTTCGTTTCATAGGACTAATTTTGGTTTATTATCTTAAAATTAAGGGAATTTAGATTTTTTACTTACAATAACTCTTACATGTTATTATGCATGAATATGAATAGAAGTAATGTTTTGTGGGTAGACGTGAATAAAATTATTATGAATAAGAGATGCAGAGTCAAACTAGGACGATACTAATATTAATAAAAAAAGTGAAAAATAATTGTAAAGAGTGAGGGGAGGCAATGAGCCCGGTCCAAACATCAAACACGTGGCCGACATAAAAGGCCCCTCATCACATGGGTACTTGCAATCAGTCAAATAAATATGACAAAAAAGTCATAATCACTTCATACATTTGAAAGTCCAAACTGTCACTCAACTGAAAGCAAGCAGCAGGCAGCTGGTGCAAAGGTGCATGCATTTTATTACCAAGGCTTTCCAATTTGCGGATTCCGTATCTCTCATCCATCCCTTCCGGCTTCCCTTCTCAGGGGAGTTTTGGTTATTGCTTCCTTTTTTTTATGTTAAATATAATGAATAAAGTGAGAGCTTTCCACGTGTTTGTCATTTATTGGGTGCCATGATAGATTTTAACTTTTCCGCTTCAGTGAGGAAGGAAGGTCCTAAGTCGCATCTTCCTTCTTCACGGGGAGGGCTAACTACAACAGCTTAACGTTATCTCGGGTTCTTGTTGGCATTAGATATCAAGTTGGTAAACCCCCCTATTATTTATCTCGGTGTAATGAGACTTGGACAGTTGGACTAGTAGATTGTTGAACCGGTGATCCGGTAAGCTAATTTGATGGTTCTCCGAACAAAAAGAAAAGAGAATATTGTTGTAAAGATCTTAAGCCCAGCAAAGTCATTTTGTTGAGACCCATAAAGTGAAATATTCACAAGGTTAAAATTTAATCCTCCCATGAAGCTTCTGACACCTCCCCTGCATATCTGTGGTTACCTCCCTTTTCTTGTCATTTTACCTTTTTATCATTTTAAATGAAAATTTTATTAAAATACACCAAAGAATTTTTCACTTTTAATTAAAAAAAAATATTTAAGACAAATTGAAAAGAATAAAAGAATTTTACTCTATAATAACATTAAGTCTTAGTGAAGTCTAAAAAGGGTAAACGGCATTTTGAATTATATTAAAGATGCCCTAATAAGATGTAAGCTAATTTCATAATTTTGAAGTTGTAGGGGAGATTTCTTTGTTAAAGTAAAACCTCAAAGGAAGAATTTATCCAAAAAAAAAAAACCTTTGAAAGGTGTATAAATACAAATATATACAATATAAATTTATACAAAATAATACAAAAAATAAAGTTTTACACTCTACATATTTATATTTATGCTGCTTCCAAATGGAGCCCAAAGAAAGAATTTACCCAAAAAAAACCTCAAAGAAAGTTATTATATTGTCAGAAACTTCAGAATAGGTTTTTATACTTTAGGATTATTTCAATTTTGATTTTAGAAATTACTTAATGAAGCACTGAAGGGGGGGTTGACCAATGTGATATGTGAGAAATTATTCACAGGAGTTGGACTCAGTCCAACAAACTCAAATACAACGTATTTACATTTGATGTTTTTATTGCCAAATTTCGAAACCAAGTCGTATGTTGTTAATATTGATTAATTTTGAAAGCTATATATTTGTCCTTTGCGGTGAATTTCTCTGTAACAAGATTTGTCCCAAAAAACTAAAAGGGAATTAGAGATGGGCTTTAAGGCTTCGAGAAATGGGTCGAACATTCCTATTTTTCAATTTGCGGACAACCGCATCATATTTGCAAAGGCTGATTTAAATAGTGCTTTAAGAATAATGAAAATTATGGGCCTGTATGCAAATGCATCTGGACAGTGCCCAAACTTTGCTAAATCTACTCTCTCCTAACATTGATAATAGAATTCGGAGAATGATCTCTAGGATATTGAAAATTCTGAAAAATGAAAAGTTCTTGGGAGCCCTTATCATAGAAGGTAGAGTGACAAAGGAAACCTTCAAGAGAGTGGAGGAAAACATAGATAAAAAGTTAGTTGGGTGGAAGAGAAGTACCCTGTCGATAACAAGTAGAGGTACCTTATTAAAAGTATCAATTAATATGATGCCACAATTCTTGATGAGAGTCGTCAAGCTCCCAATAAATGTGATAGAAAATATTGAAAAGAAACAGAAAAACTTTCTATGGAACTGGGGAAATAATAGAAGAATCAGCTTTGTTAAATGGTACTTAATATGTAAATCGAGAAGAAATGGATGATGGGGCCTAGAAAACCTAAAATGGGTGAATGAAGTAACTACTGCTAATCTTGGGGTAGAAAATACTTACTCAACCTGAAAACTTATGGTTTCAACTAATTGAAAATAAATATATTAAAAACGGGGGTTTCTGGCAAATTAAAATGAAGAAATTGATCCTCTAGGCATGGAGAAGCATTCTCCAGTTCAGAGACATATTAAAGAAAAGGAAATGGGAAAACTATAAATTTCTAGACAGATGCATGGGTGGGTGATGGTACCTTAGCTAATATGGATACAAATTCTCAGACAAATCAGCAATGTAAGGTTAGTGAATTTATCACTAACTCGAAAACATGGAATAAAGAAAGGATTATAGATAAGGTCAACCCTCAACAATGGGATCAAATCCAGGCGAATTCCAATCCCATCAAGGGATGTGGAGGATAGGATGATTCGGAAACTTGATCCAAATGGTGGATACTCCATTAAATCAGCATACTCACTCCTGGAAGGAAAATTAAATGACAATGAGATAAATCAAGAGGCTGAATAAAATTTGGAAGTTTCCTCAACATAATTTATCATAGAAGGAGACTCTCATATTATCATAGACTACCGTGATCGTATAATGCCACCATGGAACATCAGTAACTTCATCAACGAATGTCTTCATGTTCGCGGCTGCTTCGGGCTCGTCACCTCTTATTCTCATGCATTGGGGAAGCAAATTTTGCAATGAATCGTTTGGCAAGTTTGAGTCATACAGTAAATGTATCTGATCCTAGTTTAGCAAACATCATGCCTCCTTTTAGTTTCTATTGGTTATAGTTTTTGTTTTCTGTCTCATTTCTCCCTAATGTATCAAAAAGAATTGAGAAAAATATATGATGCCGGAAAGATTGAAAGATATGATACCGAAGAGGCTTTGACCAATACTTTTATAACACCGGTTCATTGGTTGCAAGTTTTTTCATTATCATGTATTTCCGGCATCATAAGTTGGAACCCTAAAATCTGACAACGTTTTTAGAAACCCGTTTGCAGCCTTCTATATACATTGATATAATGTGCAGTACACATTTGAGACAATGAGAAATTGCAACAAAACAAGAACAGATTGATGAATATCTCATTGGAGAAAAGATCAATACATCTTTAATACGTGGGACCCACTAAAACGCTCCCTGAGAGACATGCAAGTGCATGCAGAAACTATAGGCCATGTTTGGTTCACTGCTCTGAGCCTCATTCTTTTAATTCTTGTTGATTCTCAATAAGAATGAATAACATTAGTGTTTGGTTACAAAATTCTTGTCATGAGCCACATTCTTTTTAGAATGAAAAATCAGCCTATAGTACAAAAATTGAGGTAGCTTGTAGCGTGAAAATTAATCATGCCCCGTCTTGTTCATTTTCATTCTTTGAGGAAAATATGCCTACAAAACTACTGATATAGATGTTTATTACGAAAGCACTTTTATAAAAGTATTTTTATATAAAAATACTTTTATAAAAGCACTTTAATAAAATCGCTTTTATAAAAATACCTTTTCAAAAACACTTTAACAAAAATACTTTTATAAAAACATTTTATAAAAGTACTTTTATAAAAACACTTTTACAGAAATATTTTTATAAAAGCACTTTTATAGAATTATTTTTACAAAAGCACTTTTACATAAGACACTAAGAATTCATTTAAAAAAAAAAAAAACATTTAGTTCATAATAATGTTTTCTTATTTTGCCTATTTTTACCCATTCTTATTCATATTAGAATGAAAAATAACGAGAATTGAACCAAATATACTTATATAACTATAAAAATGGCGCCGGTAACATAAAATAATTTTTGTCCTTGAAATTAAAAATCAGGAATTAATGACTTCACTCAGACTCAGTCATTTATTTCTACTCTACCCAGATTTTTTCTTTTTCTTTTTTTATTTGCTGCAATCTACTCTACCCAGATTAACTACTACTAAAGTACTCGTTTAAGAAACATAATAGCGTAATTAGCTGCCTTCCTCTTGACATTTTTAGTCCATACCCTTTGCCCAAATTCTGACATTGCCACTAGCTGGCCTCGGTCCATCCGGCAACCACAGCCCCGAATAAACAAGGGCATGCTTAGTAATAAGATGAGATTTTGAGGCTATTTTTCAAAGATCGGATAATGACAAGCCTCCTTACCTTGTGTCATCTCTCTCTATATATATATAAGCAGATGAGAAAGTCCAAGGAAAGAAGAAAGAATGAGAAAGCCGCTATCTATGCAGATGCAGTTCGGCGGACGGCAGAAGTTGTAAATATCAACAAACAGCCCATTAGCTCCTTCCCTTGCTTCGTCGTCCTTCTCCTTCTCCTTCTGTTTTATTGCTCTTTCCCGCCAATTAAAAGCCACAGAAAATGAGGTTGTTGTGGAATTTGCGTAACTTGGTGTCTTGCTGCGCGCCGTCGTTCGCACGTCCGGAGGTGCCGACCGTTCCACCTCGCAAAAAGACGCGCTCTCTGGTGGTGCAATCCGGTGGCGTGACCGTGAGCGAGCGCCTCCCTTGCAGAAAACGCTCCAACTCCGCCACGACGACTCAGTGGCGACCTTCGCTTTGCGCGATTTCCGAGGACAACATCGTCGCCGTCGTGGCAACTAAAGCAGAACAAAAGCTTAGATCCGGCAAGAAAGTGGCGAGAAAGTCCGGATCCAGGGATAAAGCCTGCGTCCGTAGCTACAGCGACGAATTCCGGTAATCCCTTTCTTTCTCTGTTTTACTTGTTACGTACGCTCTTGCCGGCTGGCAGTGGCTGCGCCTGCGCTGAGTGCGTGTATTGTTCTTACTCCTCAAATAGTAAACCCCTGAACATGGTGGTACTTTAGTCATTTTGCATCATGGCACATGCATCCAATTGACTGAAGTACCCTTGATCTGATTTTGCCCAGCGGAGCAGAAGGATTCTCAATGGCAAGGGAATCCGAAACCAAAATCAATACTGGTGTGAGCTGATAATTACTGGTTCTACCTCCTCTACCTGCCAAGTTTAATGGAGTGATCAGTTTAGGCATTTCAGTGTTTTTCTAATAATAATAATAATAATAATAATATAAAAGAAAAGAAAAGAAAAACTTTCAAGGGGTATTTTAGTCATTCTAAGAATAAATAATAGATGCTTTTGTGTCAAGTGTGAACAAGGAAAATTCTGGGGTCTTCTTTTGTTGGGCAGACAGAACTCAGAAGCAGATTTTCATGATTCTCTAGAATCTAGGAAAGTGTCATCTCTGCCCAGCAACAGCAAAGATCAATCAAACAATGATGCAGAGAACAGAGAACTGCTTCTGCTTGACATTATCATGTCCTGTTAAATATTTTAAACTTAACGTGACAACTGGAAGCAGGACAAATGCTTCCGGTCCTACTTGCTTTTTACTGCCGTGAATTCTCTGCTTATAAAAGAAAATTGGGAATTCGGTGATGCATGCAGGCGGTCTCCAATGCCAACGGCCATTCCAGCATTCTCTCCGACGGCATTCTTGTTCTGATCGTTGCGGGGAGACCACCCAACCAATCCAAGCATTTCGATTTCATGAATTGATGTATGTATTCATTAACTTCATATATACGAAAATGTTGTAAAGCCGGCCGGTAGCAGTGTTGTTGTAAAGAAATCGATTTCAGTAACCGTGTTTCTTTTCAGCTAGCGTTTACAATCAATTAGTCGTAACCCATAACTCATAACCAACGCTTCCACTGAATCCTGCTCCTCTGGTAGATGTGTGAGGACTACCGATCGAATGCGGCAAAAGCCTTTCACGGGCCTGAAAAGTGAAAACCACGGAATTACAATAAAAGCAACCCAAGGAGTTTTTGATTGCTTGGTTATCTATTTATGTATTTGTTTATGGCTTGATGGACCTTTAAAGCTTACAAATTCAACACCAAACCACTATGATTTGTTCTTTCTTTTTTTCCTTTTTAACTCCACAAGGAACTAACTATCTAGCTTTTAGGAGGAAAAAGCTGCGATGGCTTTTACGCCCAGAAAGCAGCCGCAAGTCGTAGATATTTGGAATTGGAAGGAGAACATTGATCCAACGACTCTACAATTTGAGTATATATAATAAAACTGGAAGGAAGCCATGCAATTGTCGGTGCTGATTGGTATCAACTTATGGGGATGGGGGTCTCAAACGGGCTCGGTTTTTTTTTTTTTTTTTTTGAAAAAGGGGTGTTGGCAGAGTGCCAAACAAACCCAATTCATTTACTTTAAAACTGTTATCAGAATTACAATGAGAATGAAAGGTAGAGAGTCTAAGAAGGATGGGGTTGAAAGACCAGGTGACAAGATGTGAGATTTGTAGAGCATACTTAACTATAAAATGAGGCAAGGTTTTTAAAACCGACGCTGACAACAAACCGATTATGAGTCTGGTTCTTAGGTCAAATGGTCCGATCATTCGAACTGAATGGATGGTCCGTTCTAATAAAAAAATTATAAAATTAAAAAAAAAAAGAACAAACTGTTGAATAGTTTAAACGGTTCAATCATCTGAATCGGTGGTTTATTAACCAAATCGATAATTTTGGAGAAAATAACGGTTATAGAGTAAAACAGAACTGATCACCTGATCGATTTCCTGTTTTTCCCATCTGACCATCCAGTTCAGTCCGGTTTTTAAAACCATGGAATGAGCGACGCATTTTTTTTTTTTTTTCGCTTCAGGAATGAGCAACGCAATTACTTGACCCAAAGGTGCATTTGTTATTTGACTTGGGCTCGGATTTATTAAGCCATTGATGAGACTAAACTGATGAAAAAGATGCAGCCCTTTTCCATTCTAACAAATGCACCGTACGTAGTTGCCAGTTGCCACCCCTTCATCTCATGGATCATTTCAGACGCCCTACCTCCCAGTAATCTCCCTTTTGTTTGTTCCTTGCCCGCTCCATGAAACCCATCGCTTCTCTCTTTCCCTGCTTCACCCTTTCTCCGGTCAGCTGAGATCCAAATCATTATGGCTGCATTTTCCTATTTGAGCGGGTTGGGCCACATGTAAAAAACATGGGCTTTGGGCCCAGGCCAAGCTTCATTCTGGGTTGAGGTGCCCTTAAGCTAGATTGGGAAGTTCTGTACTTATTTTTGCACTCCTCCTACCTTTCATTTAGATTGTACTAGCGGGCCCGTGTGATGCATGGGATAGGATAATCCTTTCTGTCCCTCACTCCGTAGTCAAGACATTTTATCTCATCTCTGCCCCATCCCAGGTGGTGGGGTGGTTTTGAGGTAAGGCATCCATTCCCTATCAGGGATGGGGGAATACCAAATTTTCCCCACCCCAAGGCAATCACCTAAAAATAATCTAATTTGTAGTTATTTTACAAATAGGATTATGGAAATTTAGAGGTATTTTAGGAGTTGGATTATGACAATTTGAGGGTATTTTATAAATGGAATTGTGTGATCCTAGGATTATAAGAATATGATGAGGAAAACATAGAGATATTTTAAAAATCAATATTAAATCTACTAATATTTTACTAATTTACCATCGGTTTGGGGGAATTATATGCAAATCTCATCCCTGATTTGAAGCAAAAAATATTTTCCCCATCCCCATTCGGGGTGGGGTAGGGTAGGGCCCTAATTTTATAGGGAAAATTGTCATCCCTATAATTCTAATAATTTTCTATAACTAATTAACTAACAGTAAATTAAATAACAATAAATTACAGTATTTTATAATAATTTCCAAAAATTATTGAAATAATTGTTGATTAGCAAAAATGTATAGTAAATTAGTTATTTACAAAAACAATAATTTAATGTAAATTATTTACTTTTTAAGCATAAATTATTTACTATTAATCAAAGATGTAATTATAGTAAATTAATATAATTTTGGTAAATTGCATTAATTTTAATTAAAAGTAAACCATTTGTTGTTAATGAATGTAAAACCAAGTATGGTTGAAGTCAACTAAGTGGTTTAGACTAGTATGGATAGATTTAATAATTTTCCTAAATTATTTCATAATTATTTATTAAAATAAGAATAATGGATTGCTATTTAAATAAATATGAAACAATTTCTAATAGATTAAATTTTTAATTTAATTTTCCTAAAATTTTTAATAATTATTTAGTTGAATAATAATAATAATAATAATATTATTATTATTATTATTATTATTATTATTATTAATGGAATATTATTTAAATAGTTTTGGAGAATATATTTTTCATAGATTGATTTCCTAAATTTTAATTATTATTTATTTAAAAAATTATGGATTATTAGTTAAAGTGTTCCACTAAATTATTTGATAATTGTTAACTATAATTACGAAGAAGTACGAACAGGCCCAATGCAGATCTTTGATTTCCACTACTGAGATATAAACATTCAAAAGCTCAAAAACCCACACTCTGTGCACCCATACCCGCCCATGAATTGGCATCAATTCCGAGCTAGCACTACTTCAAATGTACTTTGAGCCTACAAATTCTAACCCTGGGCTGAACCGTCGTTCTCCCCTATAATTATTGATTTTATAGAAATTAGTAAATTATGCCAATTAGTAATCTCTTTTGTCAATAAATAAATGTTGTAAAAATGACTAGTGAACACCCCTAACTTCAACTAAATTAATAGTCTAATCTCTAACAAATAACAATATTTTAATCTCCAATAATTATTGAAAATTTATAGCGAAAACACACAATTGTTGAAAATATATTTATACTAGAAATACAATAAATAACTAATAAAAAGCTTTAATACGTATAAGTTATTTAATCTATTTCCATTATTTCAATAATATTTTTTCATTTATTTATATTTTATATTCTTATTAAAATTACAACAAAATTTTGTTATTTAATCTATTTTTTGTTTGTTAAATAATGTTTAAAATATGATTTAGTATTTAACTTTTTTATATTGAAAACATTTAAAATTTATTTAAAAATAGTATATAAAACATAAATAATACCTTACCCCACCCCTAACGGGGCAAGTTTTCTTGAATCTTAAATAGGGAAGGGGAATAAACAAGATGGGGATGGGAAAAATATTTTTGCTCCAAATCTGGGACAAGGAAGGGACGAGATTTGCATATAATTCTCGAAACCCGATGGTAAATTAATTAGTAAAATATCAATAGATTTAATATTGACTTTTAAAATATCTCTAAGTTTAGTCTTATAATCCTAGGATCCCACAATTCCATTTATATGATACCCCCAAATTGTCATAATCCAATTCCTAAAATACTCCAAATTCTCACAATCCTATTTGTAAATATCCACAAATTAAATTATTTTTAGGTGGTTGGCTTAAGGTGGGGAAATTTTAGGGATTCCCCACCTTCAACGGGGAATGGATGCCTCGTCTCAAACCCACCCCACCACCAGGGATGAGGTAAAGTGTCTTAACTACGAGGGCGAGGGACAAGGAGGGGTGCCACATCTCGTGCATCACATGGGGCCCGCTAGTTATAATTACTTTTGTGCTTTTGATATTTTTTAAGTTATAACATAATTTTCTTATTTAATCTATTTTAAATTTTTTAAATAATATTTAAAATATGATTTAGTTATTAATATTTTGATATTAAAGTATTTAAAAATTAGTTGGTTAGAATATACTTAATTATTTAAATAATACCATTATTTAAATTTTTAAAATATTAATTATTTATTAAATTTAATAATCCATGAAATTATAACTTATACTATTATTACATAATTTCGTTATTAATTTGTAAAATAAAAAATTATTATTAATTCAAAAGTTATGAAATCTATTATAATTATTATTCTACTCTTAAGAATTGTTTTTTTTAATTTATTACATAATTTCGTTATTTTTAACTATTTAAAATTTATTTATGTTAAATATTTCATTATTTAAATATTTAAATAATATGTAAAATATTTAATCTTTTTTGTTATTTAAATTTTATTTATGTAAAGTTATTATGTAGTTTTAAATATTTTGTTACATAATTATTTAGCTATTTTTAATATTTAGTTATTTAAATAATTTTTATTTATGTTTTTAAAATATTATTTAGTTATTAAATTGAATAACCCATAAAATTATAATTTATATTGTTATTATATAATTTCATTATGAATTTCATAAAAATGTAACATTATTAATAATATGAATATTGTTAAACCTATTATAATTATTTTTTTGTGTTTTTAATAAATATTTTAAAGTTATTACATAATTTCATTATAATATTTAAATAACTGTTAAATATTTTAATTGAAACTTTCTTTAGATAGATATAAATGAAAAGGGGAGAGAGGATAAATAGGAATTAGAGATAACTTAGAAGATAAATAGGGATTAGGAGAGAGATAGAGATAATTTAGGAGGAAGTGGGGGATAGTTAGTTTCCTAATAAAAAGGAGAGGAAAAAGAAGATAAGCTATGTTAGGTGGCAACTTTTAGTGATTCTAGAGGGAATCTTACACCCCCTCTAGAATTGCTGGGTTTAGGTAATGGAGCAAGGAGATGACTACTGGCATGGCAAGCTCTACTTTAGAATATATACATAGATGCTCTAAGAGACCGGTGTAAGTGTAAGAGAGTGGAATTATATATCAACACCGTGGCGCTGAAAGAATGTCATGAACCGTGGATATATGGCTGTGTTTGGTTTGAAACCAAACATATAGCTTATAGGTATGCCTCCACCTC